CCTTGTTCACGGGCAGGGGAGGGCGACGCTCACCGAGGTGGGCGCGGTCAGAGATGATGAGCCTCTTCTCCCAGTCCTTGAGGCCTGTGGCGACGGGCACAGAAAAGAGGGCTGAGGTGAGCTAGCTCCCCCAGTGCCCACCCAGGCAAACACCACCAGGGTCATCTCCGGTGCTGAGCAAGTGACCAGCCCTCCCCTTGTGGCCTCTCCCCCTGCTGTGGGTCCCAGACCCTTACCCCCAGTGGATGCCCACCCCATTCCCGCAGGCATCTATCTCCCCACGGGGTCTCCATCCTGGCACCTCCGGCACCTCCTGGTGCCCGTTTCCCGGGGTCAGGTTCCCACGAGCCCTATTTGCACCTGAACTTGAGCCTGAGGCTCTGCTTCCTCCATGACCCTCTCGGGGGCTCAGGGCTGCCGCGTGCTGGTCACCTGCCTCTAGATGACCCTCGCAGGGCCTCACTGGCCCAGACACCCTGGCGGGTGGCCTCAGTCGCCACCCGCCTGCCTCCTGTCCCCGAGGAACCCCCAGGAACCACATCTTTCCCCGAAGGTGTGGCCCGCCCACCAGAGACACCGCACAGCCAGGCACCGGCCAACACGGGCGCTGGGGGCACTCGGGTGTTGGGACAGGGCGCGTCTGGGGGACGTGGACCCACCTTTCTTTTCATTCTTTTCTGCTTCTTCAAACAAGCCCGGTAAGTGGACAACCACCCCGTTGCCTGCAACACATGGACACGAGACTGAGCTGCACCGAGGACGCTGGGGGCTTAGGCTTATGACGGCAGGACACTGGCACGTCGGCGTCCACGGCGGCAACGGTCACAGCAGCTGAGACGCGGACGCAGCCCGGCGTCCACAAGGAGGAACGGATGACCTGGGTGGCCCATCGCGCCGAGGGGCGCGACTCGGCCTTGGAAACGAGGGGCAGGCGGACACCTGCTGCAGCGTGGATGCGTCACGCTGAGTAAATAGCCAGACGCGGGACAGACGCTGTGTGGCCCCTGCCGTGAGGAGTCAGGCCCATGGAGACGGCGATGGTGGCGCCGGGCTGGGGAGGGTAGGGTTGGGGTTTAACCAGGACAGAGGCTCAGCTGGGGAAAATGACAAAGTTCTGGAGATGACGGTGGGGATGTCTGTGTAGCAATGGGAATGTACCTGATGCCTCTGTGCGCAAAACGGCTTGACAGTGCCTTTACTCTCTCTCTCTCTGTGTGTGTGTGTGTATTTTTTAATCCTTGCTCAAGAATATTTTTTCCATTGCTTTTCAGAGAGAGTTCAAGGGACAGAGAGAGACAGAGAGAGAGAGAGAGAGAAACATCGATGTGAGAGAGACACATCGACCGGTTGCCTCCCGCATGGGCCCCGACCAGAGCTGGGGATCAGGCCTGCAACCGAGGTATGTGCCCTTGGCTGGAATCGAACCCGGCACCCTTCAGTCCGAGGGCCGATGCTCTAACTACTGAGCAAACGGGTCAGGGCTATGCTGTGTGTAGTTTATCACAGTAAAAGAAGGGACCACACAAAACAAGCCGGGCCTGACGCATTTGCAGAGACGGAGCAGTCTGTAGGGTGGGGCTGGGCTAGGGGAAGGGGGTGGCCAGCAAGCAGCAGAAAGGAACTTCTTGGGGGGACAACACTGTCCTAAATTGAACTGAGTGATGGCTGCGCAGCTGTGGGTGAATTTCGTGGCCCGTGAATTGTGCCTCGAGAACAGTGCTCCGGTTTATGTAAATGGCCTGAACACGGGAAAGCGGAGACTTGTGGCACCACCGCTCCGGGGCGGATCAACTCCCGGGAGCCCTGCTGCCCCAGCCATAGAACGGGCGGGGGGCATGGGCAGGCTGGCCCGAGGTCACACGCTCCCATGGGGTCCAGGTGAAGCTGAACGCAGGCGCCTTCCTCCAGGACCGCAGGCTGCTGGCCAGGGCCACCCTATCCTGTGCTGGCCCTGCCGGGGTTGGCCGTGGCACAGGCTCAGCCGAGAGAGACAGGACATTGGTCCAGGTGGGAGTGATTCAGAGACTACGCAAGCCACACCGAGCACAAAAGGTCATCTAAATGCCAAGCGTCCCGAGATGACCACGTGGCCAGGGCTGGGGGAGTGTTGCAAGCCGAGGGGCAGCTGTGTAAACTCCAGCACCTTCGGCCCTGGCTAAGTGTGACTCTCGGGTGCCATGAGCTGACCGCCCTCATGGTGCACCCTCGTGACCGTCTAGCCTGGGCTCCGGCCCCCAGCCCTGATGAACCTCCAGCTCCTCTGAGACCAGGCAGAGCCCCACCCCCAAGCAGTGGTGCCTGCTTGGCCTTGCTTCCTGCGNAGACAGGCGGTGCCAAGAGGGCTTCCTGCAGCCGGGCCACCCCACCAGGCTATGCTGGGGCACGGGCTGGGGGTCCCCCATCCTCAGCTGCTCAGCCATGGCTGGGCTGGGTCCGCACCCGAGTGGAGGGGCCGCTGAGACCTCCTGCTCAGCCCAGCTGCACGCAGCCCACGCTTCTTTCCAGTGCGCCAGACCCCATGCCATCGCCGGGCGCTCGCCTGCCACGGCAGCCCCCCCGCTTCCTGACCAGGGAGGGGTGGGTGCAGATGAGTCACGAGTGTGGCTTAGTCATGGAAAGAGCCAGAAGGAAAAGTACTGGAAGCCCTGAGACTGTCCCAGGGGCCTGGCCTGGGGACCGGGACAAGCTTCTCTGAGTAAGGGTGGCTAAGAGACAAGGCCAGGACAGGCAGCTGGGCCTTGTGACAGAGAGACAGAGACAGAGACAGAGACACAGAGACAGAG